ATAAAGGTCTTCAGGGGCCACTTTGGCCCTCAAGGAAAATTTTCTGACTGAAACACTGAAATAAAGGCAAATACTTCAGCGAGCATCCGAGCTTTGTTTATTTATTTTGTGTTGTTTTTCGAGCGCAGATACATATGACGATGCATCAGCCAGTTTCTTTAAATTCTGTGTTATTTGTCGGGCATATTTAGTTACTGACTAGATTAGTTGCACAGCCCTATATAATTATAGAGGTATATAATATTATGGAGGTAGCGACTGTTTAGGAAGTATTACTGTATATTATTGAAGTGGCCCGTAGACGCGCAGCCACGTGGCCAGGCATTCTACTGCCATATCAGATAATGATTGCTTGCATCAGAAATGCAAAGAAATGAGAAACACTACCTATAAGAAAGCAATATCTCGGTGAGGACACCGTTTCACCTTCACCTTCGGTGCGACTGTACGCAAATGACTGCTTAAGCCTTGTACATTGATCAGCGGATTCACAACAGTGAAGGAAGGTAGGAGTAAAATTCGCCCTCATAGCTACGACTTGGAAAATTGACACGCTATTTTCTAAGGTAAATAGAAGACCAAAAAGAGAAAAAAGGCCAAAGGGAAACAAAAGACAAACACCCAACAAAACAAAGAAAGGGAGACTCTAGTTTTGAACTCATATTACACTTACCCTTCATTATCTGGTTCATCAGATGAGTTATCTGCAATATCAGATTTCATTCCCTCTTCTTCAGGCATGTCTGTATCTGAATCAGATTCTTTGACCCCATCAGATATTGTGGCCAATTCAGGTTTCACTTCATCTGGCACCATTTCTGGGCTACTTCGATCTTCCTTCTCTGGAGCAGGGACATCTTCGACTTCTTTTCTGGCTGCTGTTGTGTCTGCAGGTGAATCCTCAAACAAATTTTCGCTATCACCTCCAATGCCACCACTGACAGTATCACCACACTTTGTTTGTGAATTAGTGTCAGCATCATTTTCTTGCTTTTCATTTTTCACCACAGCTAAATCACCCTGGTCTTCCACTGATTTCTCTTCTTTTGGTGCACTGTTTATATCCTGGTTGTCAAGTTGCTTTTCTAGGGCTAACTCAGGTTTGACAACATCAGGCACAATCTCTGAACTGCTGCCATCTTCCTTTTCGAGAGCAGGGACATTTCCTTCTTCTGCTCTGGCTGCTGCCGTGTCTGCCGGTGAATCCTCAGAACAATTTTCTCTCTCATTCCTCAAGCTACTGCTGACAGCATCGCCACACTCTTTTTGTGATTGAGAATCAGCATCATTTTCATGATTTTCATTTTTCATCACAGCTAAATAACTCTGGTCTTCCACTGATTTCTCTTCGTTTGGAGCACTGCCTACATCCTGGTTGTCAAGTTGATTTTCCAGGGTATGAGAAGTTCTGTTTCCTGTTTTCTTTTTCTTTTTCTTCTTCTTTTTCTTCTTTTTCTTGGTTCGGCTGTCTTCTGCAGGATCAAGTTCCTCACATTCTTTTCCAGAAGTCTGACCCTTCCTTGCTGAATCTATTTTTGCATTGGTTTCTTCTACACTGAAAGTTGAAGTTTGCAAAAGTTGCTCAGTGTTGTCAGGAGCAACATTAGTCATTTCTGCCTTCTTTTTCTTCCTTTTCTGCTTCTTCTTCTTCTTTCCACTCTTAGTTTCATGGCTGCATTCCAAGGATTCCTCGTTTTCTCCTTCCTTTAGCAAAGCAGTACTCTCTGTTTCAGGAGTTTCTCCTGATGCGATATCCAGTGATGCACCTCGCTGTGACAGTTCATTGGAGCCTTTCTCGCTCCCATTATTGATCACTTGAGACTCTTTGTCCTCCACCTCTGTCTTTGCAGGATCTTCCATTGCAAAAGATCTTCTAAGAGAGAAAGAAACGTGACCAACACATTACAGGACATCCTCACCAACTGTTTTGTACATCCTTACTAATCAATTTGAACACCAGTGAAGAGTGTTAAGATGATTTAAACATGGAAAAGATTCCGAAAAGCCAAAGTGCCTAGCAGTTGAATCACTCAAGTACAAATTCAAACGATCCAATTGGGTGGTCACTTCTGATTTCCTGATAACTAATGAACAATTGTGTTTACCATTATTTGGATAACAGTTAAAAGCGTCTTGCCATTAAATTTTTGCAAGGATGTGCAGATAGAGTGCATAGACATTCATTATGTGTGACATGCTGTCTGTCTGTCCTAAAACTGCTCACATACCAAAACCTTAATACCAAATGATATGATTACAT